TCGACAATTGGATCGAATTTGGCAGGAAATACCGCAAGAGACCATCCGGGAGCTTTATCGGTCTATGCCACGCCGTGTGGCAGCTTGTATCCAGGCTAGAGGCGGGTCAACACCTTATTGAACTTGTTACTATAACTCTGCAATAAATTATTCAATTGTTCTGAAATTTTAATCATTTACTATTCTGTACATTGTCTTCCAATTTTCGTTTCAATCGGACAACTCCTTCTTGGTGCATCGTTTTTTTTTTTGTTATAGAGTGTATATGAGTTCATAGATATTTTTAATATGGAAGGTTTTCTCTTAATAAAAATCACTTTTTTTATGGTTGCGATTTTTCCCACATCATTCCTGAGGTCACCTTTCAAGTGGAGAAATTTAAACTTTTAGCTTTGACATTTTCGGCAACTTTTTAGCAAATTAATTCTTAATGCTTATCCCGAACATGGTAGATTTGAAATGAAATTAACTTCTCTAAATTCCAATGGAATGTAGAGCAGTGCTGATAAACAGAAACCCACAGATGTCATCCTTTTCTGTTACAACTTGTTCAGTCATTGCTGGGTCCCCCGTGGCAGAATCATGGCGACATTGTCGCAGAACGTTACAGAGTTCTTGCAGAAAGATTTTTCTTTTGAAAAGTAAAAAAAAAAATCTCCTTTTCTTTTCTACAGAAATTTACACGTAATATTTGAATCATGCATTTAGATTAACACTTTTTGATGCGCTCAATTTACGCCAATAGTAATGTAATGTTCCGATTGTATTTTCGGCAGCTATTGATATTGGTTTTCATGTGGATTTTAAATATCCCGAAATATTTCAAGCTGTATGGAAAATTCGAATCGTTCATTTGAGCATTTACTTTTTGAGACAATAATGTTATCGAAGTTCTGGCAGTTATTGATTTTTCTATAGTTTTTAAATCCGACGTTTTCATACAACATTTATTTACAACAACTTAATCTCAAAATGAAACGCGCATTTGCAAAGTACGATTCGCGTGATTTTGTCGTCAATATTTTTTTCAGATTTCATGATTTTTAATTTTTTTTATTGTGATGATTATTTACAATTGGAAGAAGGAACTATTTTGTGCGTCCCCCCCCTCCAACAAAATGCGCGAACGTCATCCATTATATTAGAATAAAAAATTATTACATGTTCAATTAAAAACAATGACACAACGCTTTTGTTAACATTAAATTAGTAACATATATATGTTAGTTATTATTAAAAGTATCTTGCTGTCAGATATTAGCGTTAGAAAGTTTTGGCGCTCAAAAAAATTCTGCAACAGGGGCTGGGTCACCTCCCAATGAGAATCCTCATGGTTGCAGTTATTACTTTCTCCATAAATCCAAAGATAAAATTCATCCCTTTTCTATGTGAGGAAACTATATTTGTGAAGAAAAAACCCATAAAGCACGGAATCTTTTAAAAAGGGTCATCGATACCTGATCATGCCAACTTTGTATGTGGAATGAATTTTTTTAAAATATATAACAGTATATTATATATTTAAAAAAATTCCTTAAGGACATGGTTTAAAATTCACAGAGATGATTGTGCTCCGAAAAAATTCCGGACTTTTCACTAACCACGATCCGGAAATCCAAGGTCCAGAAGTTTCGAGAAATCATCGATCACATTTACAAATAAAAATTCTTGCATATTTTAATGAAAAATATTAGAACTAGAATTTATACTTGCTTTGCGTCTCTTTCATTTGTAAATATTTTTTTTCTGGTAGAATAATGAATGTGATTAGTGATAAAAGTAAACTTATACGTAATTATTCATCTAAATTATGCTCTGTATAATTTATTTAGAATTTCATGTTTTGAAAATATCAGTGATTTAAATTTATAAAGACATTAATTTTTTGAAATGCGTCATTAAATGATTTTACTCAAGAAATTTTCAGGATTCTTGAGTTGAGCTCACAATCATGTCAGCAGCAACAATGCATAGAAATGAAATTGACCATTTCAAAGAAAAGAAGAATAAAACAAACCTGGATATAATTCTGGATAAGACAACTTCTTCGGACAAAGTGGATAACAATTAAAATGAATAGCTTCCAAACTGAAATTCCAAAGAAAGAATAAAAAAATACAGATTAAACAAAAAAAAATATATGATATTCAATTTTTTTCCCCAATGATTTTATAAAAGATCTATAATAAAGTTCATTCTTTTTATATAAAATTGGTTATAAACTTCTCATTTAATTCTTAAATATATAACTTGGACTGTTTAGAAAATTGAGTCCAATATTTTTTTAATTAACTCTTTGGTTCAAACATATACTTTTAATTAATTTATAGAACTTTACACAAAACATAGTTCTAGGAAACTTGAAAGTTTTCATACAGCAAACAATTAAGGAAAAGTCAACTTAGTAATACATCAACTATTCACCTAACAGAAGCAAGATGTCTATTATTGATAAGCTTTATACCTTTAACTGTAAAATCCTAAATGTTTGCTGAAATTTTTTTTAAAAACCCTATTTTTAAGTTTTGTTTTGCGATAAAAAAATATGTAGATAAATCTTAATCTAAAGAAGTTTTTTTTAAACATTATTTATAATTACTTAAACTATTTTATTTTATAATCGTCGTTGAACAGCCGACAAAATATTGAGTTTACGACTACTAATGTTCAACCTCGTAGCCTTATAATTTTGAACCGAATCCAGAAGACAAGGAAAATCCTAGATCAGTATCCCCAGAGGTATGATTCTTTTTTTTATTTTTTTAAATGGGAACACGGAGGACTTTGTGACCAGACAGATTTAACATGTACCAGTCACCATTTACTGCACGAGGAGTCTTCAGCTGGCGGGGATCGACCTCTTGGACATGGGCTCAGTACCTTACCAACCAGGATATCTCAAACTCCTACTTAAACTATTAAAACTCAGCATACTGCAGCACTAGCTCTAAGCTAAACATACTACAGTACTAAAACAGAAGACTTGGCAGGGTAACTATTATACATTTTGAATAGTAATTTGTTAATTTAATTGTATTTATAAAATTTAATTATGTTAATTTTTAACAAGAGTTCTTTATACAATTATAAATCTAGGTTTTTACTATACTCATTTGATTGAAGCACTTCCATTACTTTAATTTCATTTCCATTACTTTTCACTCATTTGAAAAATATGTATAGAACGAATTTGAAACTAATAATATTATTAAAACGAGATTTTATTTCAAAACAACACTTTTTTAAATATTTGATGTTTCGATTTTAAAAAAGAATTTCTTCTACAAGGATTGGAAGAAATGTGCAATCCCTAATTGAATAAAAAATTATGAAAATGTTTACAAATTCTTAAACAAAAAATAAAAAGGTTATTAATAATGTAAATACATACACTTACACAGAAACTCCAAAGAACTCATGTTTTGCAGTTGAAACTACAACATCAGACGAACGTAAAATGTTATAGTAGTCCTCTTTATTTTCTTGATAACCCCAGTATCTTATATGGTCTTTCAAATATTCTTTTGCTTCTTCAAAAACATCTACAAGAAAAAAACATTGTATTTCTTCTGAACATTTGGTTATTTTAGCTGCAAAAATACAATTCCAATTCACTCGTGTTAACTCGATTCTTTGGAGGGATCTCTTCATAGGTGACGATTGCGGATGTATCTTGACAGTACGACCTGAACACGCCCATTATTTAAGGGGCCATAAGGGGGAATTTGAGCCTATGATCCGCCCTTCTTTCTTATGTCACGGACGTCGAAATGAATTGTAGTTGAAAAGAATAGGGAAAGCGTTAAATAGAACAAAGTGTAAATCACGTTTTTTGCATAATTCGTTTCGAAAATCGACATGGTACAGAAAATATATCTCATTTTGGAAAAGGAAAAATGAAGTACAAAAGGAAGTACTTTTCACAAACATCTAATGAAAAAAAACACCTTTAAAAGTTTTATAAAACAAAAATAAGCACCTTTAAGTACTTTTTAAAAACGCTAAGCACCCTGTTGATATAAAAATAGTTTTATTTAATTAGTTTATACAGAATTTTAAAATCTACATATAACATTATTTTAAGAGTTGGTTTGTTCAAGTACTCATACTTAAAAGAATATAGTTAGATAAATAAATTTGTAATCACATGATTTGTTAATTTAATTGTATAAAAAGATATAGAATATTTTAAAAGTTTTTTACATATTTATTAAATTAGGTTTTACAACTCTTTTAAATAAAATATTGCAAAAATACTACAGTTATAATTTAAGAGAATATCAATTTAATTAATTTTTTTAGTTACGTTGCGTTTTCACTTGTTTGTAAATGATGTATTAAATAGCTTGGATACTAATACTATTATTTCAACTAGATTGCAATAATAAACTGTTTTAAAACTAAATTGTTCTAAGATTTTATACCTTTGAGTTTCTTCTACTTAGACTGCGATTGGGGTCAAAGTTACAAGGCTAGGAAGTTGAACATTAGCAGTCGTAAACCCAAAAAATTGGGTCAGCTGTTCAACAATGGTTATAAAATATTTAGTGTTTGTATTTAATGCCTTCTTTTGTTTATACCTTTTCTCTGGTAGTCATGTGGTAGTTTGCCACAGCTGTTACCTTAAACAAGTTAAGAATTTATAAGTTTTAAATGTTAATTTTTATACATTAGTCGCAAGCATCGATTTTATAAAAAACAGCGACTGGAAACTCTCCTATTAGCAAACGAACCAGTTGTTGAGTCAACTTGCAAGTGATTGACATTCTAAGCTGAATCTAAATTAAAAAATACCCTGTTAGGCTTATGCATTTGTAAAGCGTCTACCACCACAAAAATACAATTCCAATTCACTAGTATATAAGACATGTTAACTCGATTCTATGGTGGGGATACCTTTTCATAGATGAAGGTTGATGTGACTCTCACCACGATGGTGACTTTGATGTGAACACGCCTACTTTGACAGAAACGCCCATTTTGATTTGAACACGCCTACTTCGATGGATGGTCGCCATTGAACAGATGACTTGCTACTTGTGACAGCGACATTATCCACCTCCTCGCGCTGTTGCTACTCAATCTCGATCACACACATAGGCTTGTATACACTCTACTGCTAATGGCAACGCAGGAGCGGCCATGATCGTGAACTTAATACAGTTCTCACGATCAGCATTCAAGAGTACGGTGATTTTAAAACAGCTCTCTCAGCTTCTCGCAGAAAGCAGCAATGAATCAACTAGTGGTATTTGTTGTTAGTGGAACTCTATCATAGATAATTCTGGTGGAGGAGTATTGTAGTGTATCAACCGCTACAAAAATACAATTCCAATTCAGTAGTATATAAGACATGTTAACTCGATTCTATGTTGGGATACCTTTTCATAGATGAAGGTTGTCAAGGTTGATGTGACTAAAAAACATTTCCATAAAGTATTCTCCTCGAGTTTCTACTATAAGACAACGAAGTTGGACATTTGCATGGATGATTTTGTTTGACAATGTGGAAGTTATTTTTTCCCCTCTTACAACTAGAAGTTTTTCTGCTAAGTACTAAAAAAGATATCTGATTCTAATGTAGTAAGTCAATCTCAGATAAACCTTTTTGTGACACAGATTGTCTGATATAAGTTAGGACGTAATATACTTACTGGGCTTTTCAGAAAACGATTCACCTAAAACAGATAAATAAAAGTCTTCTCCTGAATCTTTCAAACGATAAATCACAGAAAAAAATGTTTCAGGGTCTTTGTCATGTTCCCTGAAAAATAAAGAATAAAATGAAATTGATTAAAGACACAGCAGAAATGAAAAATTGAATACAGTTGTCAAAAGGGCCGACATATCGAACGAGAAAAAAAAAATTCTGTTGAAGTTTGTGCTAATAATTCAAGAAGTAATTTTCAAATTGAATATTGATGCCAACTGGAAAGCGTTACATCATCACTTCCACCTGTTTATCTTCTAAATATGAGATACTAGTGGCTGATTTAACATTCTGAGTAACAGATGCATTACAATATTTTATGTAGATCAAGCTTTCCAGTTGAATTCCAGTGTGATCAAGATACATTTTTCTGTAGTGGATCTACCACTACAAAAATATAATTTCAATTCACTCGTATATAAGACATGTTAACTCGATTCTATGTTGGGGTACCTTTTCATAGATGAAAGTTGACATTGTCGATAACTCGCTCTCCACATTGGTGATCCGGACGTGATGTGAACATGCCCACCTTGACAGAAATTCCTACTTCGAAATGAACACACCTTTCTTAACAGTAACTACCACTTCGATTTGAACAGCCCTACTTCGATGGATGGTCCACATTGAACAGTTATGACTGTGACATTGTTCTCATCACGCTGTTGCTTCTCAGTCTCGATCACACACAGCATATACACTCGATCGCTAAAGGCAACACAGGAGCGACCATGACCGTGAACTTAATACAGCTCTCACGATCAGCTCTTAAAAAAAGCACGGTGATCTTAGTATAGCTCTCCCGGCTTCTCACAAAACAACTAGGGATATCCCATTCATCGAATTCTATCACAGATAAAATTCTGGTGGGCGAGTACTGTAGTGTTTCTACCACTAACTCCCTCCCCACACTGACCAGCGCGTTGTTTCGGAATAAAGGTATACCATAATTCTGCACACCATCCATAATCCAATTCTGTCGAGAGATTCCACAGGACAATGAAATGTAGTTTCGGTAAATTTGGAAGCTTTTGTCCTTAAAACAGTGACTCACGAAAGATTGTCACCCACAGAAAGAGTGGATAAACACCAGAAACTTTGCTTTATGAAAAATGAACAGCAATACACATTGTCCCAACCCGTGTAGTCAAATCTTCCAACAAAAAATAAGCCTTTTTTTAAGCATTTAAAAATATTTTAAAGCACTATATACCATTAACAAAAATGCATACCAGAGTTTTCAAAGACTTCCCATGATCATGATAAAATAACGAGTTTCTGACAAAGAACTCTTTTTCTTGATTATATTAGCCGCCATAAAAAGATCGAGAGATTTTTCGGTTCGATTTCAGAGGGTGGAAAATGAACACTGAAATTATGAATATCTTGCAAATTGCAGCTGAGTTGCACATGAGAGCGCAAGAATCTCACCGAAATCAGCTCAGTATACAAACACCGCAAGTATAATTCATCAAACATGTAAAATGATTGGCGCTTTTGGCGGACCGACGGTACACCGAAATGCAGCACTGTGGTTGAATGAATTGTGAAAACGTTGAATGTGAAATACACGCTTTTGTGGCGCATACGTGGCGAAAATTGACACGATAAAGAAAAAAAATCTCATTTTCGAAAAGGGAAAAATGAAGCACTTCTTAAGAACACCCCATAAGAAAAGCATCTTTAAGGGCTTTTAAAAAATGAAAATAAACAATAAGCAGTTTTTAAAAATACTACGCACCATGCCAGTTATGTTTTTCGATTAATCGATGACTTGAAAAGATGTCAAGAATTAACCATAGAGAAGAAGTCAAAAGTATGAGTAAAATACTGTCAAGTTTGAGTTTCTCAAAGGAGTAATAATTAATCTTAATAAATTTAATAATAATTTTCAATCCACTACAATAATTGTTAAACGAATTTGAGCTGAATTTTTCAAACAGATCAGAAAAAACCTCCTTGATTGAAAATGATATTTTAATGCTGTCTAAACAATATAAGATGTCTCTTAGACAAACTGAACTATTAAAAACTGAAATTGTTTAAAATGTTTACGTGTGGTATTATTGAATACAGAGAAACAAACTACACTTCACCAATGGTTGATGTTACAGACCGAGATTCAAGACCGTGCGTGGACTATCGGAACGCATAACACGATTTTATCATTTAACCCCTTCCTTCTCGCGCTCCCGTGAAATTTCCGGGCTGGAGTGTTCAGTAGTAACGAGCCAATAAGAATAAAACGAATTCATTTCTTTTGCCTGGAAAACATTTTATTTCTCATTTTACACACCAGATGGCAGTACCAGGATACTTTGAAGGTAATTGTAGAAAGTTTATTTTAAACTAGATGTCAGCACTAATCAAATACGTGTATTTGGCAAAATAAGCACTTTTATGACCGTTTTCTTGAAAATTAACCGATCGTTAAGGGGTTAATTAATACTAACAAATTAATTGAAAATGTCTCTCTCACACATTACTCTAGTAGATTTAAAAAGGGGTTATTGACCCCTGATTTCAAATGCTCAGAGATTAGCAGTTACTTTTAGGACCTTTAGAACTCAAAGGATACCATTTGGGCTCAAAAATGCTCCCTTCTCTTTTGGCAAAATGATGACTCAATGGGATACCTGCATGTCGATATCCTGATTGGTTGTTGAAATGCACCATTTGTTTAAGTTAACAGCTGTTCTTTCCAGTATATTTCGAGTAAGCCAAGCCCGTCAAGCATATATTCTTTTAAATGATACATTCTATATATTCGTATACAAAGATTCTTTCACAAAGATTTTAATTCCTTCACTATATATTTCTTACGTAACAGCCATGAAGCCATGTCGAACATAAACAAATTAAGTATACATTGAAGGTACACAAAACAAAAATATATCATAGTTAGAATAAACAAACAAATAATAAATCTAAGTTAGATAAAAGACGAGAAAGAATTATATTTCTACAAATTCGATGTGCAAACGGTGCTGCATTAAATTATCTAATTATCATTCTAACTTATGAGGAAAAACTTAGTTCAACTTTAACACGCCATTTTGCTTATAAATGACGCCATAGATCACATGTGTGGGTATCCATGATCTTCTTGAAGTGCTGAAAGAGTGAGAAAAATATGTAGTTTTTTTTTTATCTTAATGATCTAGAGAAATTTTCAGATAGTGGGGAGGAACTCTTAGTCACGTCGAATAAATTTGTTTCATTTAACAAAAGAAGAAAGGAAAAAAACCAATAATTGGATTATTTTTAATAAATTTTTCAGTGTATAAAAAATTTTTCATTTCTGATTCCTTTTTCAACCATTTCTAGATTATTTAATCTCACGGACAACGCATGCACTAAGGGTTAACTGTCCTATTTGGAGAACATAATATTGATAGCTTATAAAATAAGTTTCATTGAGGAAGAAATTATTCTGCTGAATAACACAGGGATCAATACAGCTCAGAACATGTAGGGGGGCACATGTGAACATGGTATGTTTTACCAATATGATTTGAAATAAAAAATCTTGAAAATATTTCAATTGATGGCTGTTCTAGTCCTACCTCTTTGCAAAACTTTCAGAACAATGAGACATTTTGTTGTGTTCTATTCGGACAATTTGTTTGCATCGCTGGTGTTGTATATAGTATAATCATTAGCTTCTTCAAGTGAAAGCATAGTATAGATCAACTAATAAACTAAAATTAACTATTGCAGAACATTATATGAACATTCAGGTAAGTTAATGACAATTATTAATTTTTTTTTTTTACACAATTAAAAATTCTTTAACTTTCAAGTTAGGTTTAAGAAGGATGATGGGGTACTTGTGAACAAAACATCTGGAGCAGATGTGAACAGTTCACATGTGCCCCTACATAGTATTAAGATTATTATCCACATAATATCATAAGTTTAAAATATATGTATGCATCTAAAATTATTATTATTTAATTTTCCATAATTAATTTATTAATTTTTTCTATAAAAAAAGATTTCTTTATTGAATGGTTGATAGCGCATTACGCATATTAACTGATACACCTGAGAAACTCTCCCCTACTTCATTCAGAATCTGAACTTTTTCACTTTAACTTATTTTTGATTCACGAAAGAGTGGTCGTTTCAGCAAAGTGTGAGACGGATTGTCATGGTCATGCCAATCATGGTTTTAGATGGTTGCTCCTGAATAAATAATTCTCAAGTTTAAAAATTTGTTTTGAAAATGAAAAATTTATAACGACTTAGAGTTATTAAAATATAATAAATTTCTAAACAAGAAAAGTTTTTAAATAAAATATGATTTTTTTTGTTGAACGAAAGATTGTACTAGCTAAACATCTGTTAGCTTAAATCGCACTAAACAGTATGAAATGAAACTATTATATGATTTTGTGAAACTCAAAAATTGCAATAAAATGTAAATAAAAATTTCGAGAGTAGAAGAAAAAAGGCGGTATTCTTCTTCTTTTTGTAGGAAAAGCTTTTAATATTTTGTGCTGTAAATCATATTATTCAGTGCAATAGAAATTGTCTTTAGATTTCAGCCTGACATTTTGATTAAAATGATAGTGTTAAAATAATAAACTGCTCCTGTTAGCTACCAAAGCTGTTTATAGTTGTAGATCTAGTCACCTAAATCATTATAGTTAAAGAGAAAATTGTTCTATCACCAATAAAAAGAAAAGAAAAGGTGCGTAGCCAAATCTTTCAACAAAAAATAAGCACCTTTTAAACGCTACGCACCGTGGGTATATACCCCCTCTAGTTTGTTTGATGTTATAGCAAAGAACACTAATGTAAAAATTTAAATGCTTATAAAACAAAACCCCTACTTCATTTAAATGTATCAACTCAAATCCAAATACTGCCTCGGGCAAAGGAGCAAGTCTGTGCACGATTTTAAGCCCCTTTATTTTGTTTGTAAAATATCAATACCAATAGAGTAATGCTGCTGAATGGAACAGAGAAGACAAAAACATGCGATGAGTTCAGGTAAGCGAACCAGCTGACTGTTGCAGGCGGCTAAGTACTCGTATCTGAAAATATTGGCAGTGATTTTGTGCCTAATTTTCTTTTGCAGATAGCTAAGTTAAGAAATTAAAAGTATAGATACAATCCTGGTTAAATATTTTAGCATGAAAGCTGTATGTATCAGATATTTTGACTTGGACATGAAAAAGAGCTTTCTTGTGTTGCCTATTTCGTGTTATCTCTAAGAGTTAGAAAGCTATTTTGACATTGCATCAGATTCAGCTGAGATTCTGTTGTACCAAACAACTCCTGCTACAAAGTTTATGCACCTTAAGACATCAAATATCAATGTAAAATAGACTCAAAACAACCAATTTTACAGAATTGATATGAAAAAAAAAAACATGTTAGTGGTGTGATCATGGGATCACCACAATATTTACTTTTCATACTGGGCTGTCTCCAACAGGAGCGCCCTCTTCATTGCCTTTGCAGGATCTCTAGGGCTCGACTCATAGCTCGTCTTTAGAGATTCTTGCAACCGCTAAGGAGGGGACGCTATCTTTTGGAGATAGACCAGTATTCCCCGTGGATCTCGAGCAGTTGGTTGCTTTCTTAAGCAGCAGGATAATTTTTGTTTTATCCCCCTGTGTGCTCTAGAGTTTAATCTTTGATTTTTACCGTAATAAGTTTTTCCTTATCTTCTAATCATTTATTTGATGCATCATGTAGTTATATAAGAAAACAATTATTATTTCAATGACTTAAATTAAATTACTATCTACTCCCTGGAGCACACAGGGAGGATCCAGCATCCACGTGGTAGATTTAGGCTCTTGTGAATTGATGAGCCGCATACTAAAATGAACATGTTCTTAAAACCGAAATGAAATAAAAATGCTGAGTGAATGCCTTCGTCTACAAAAATCTGTGTTTTTCATTTGAATGGGGATATACAACATCTAGCACAAGCAGTTGGCGGATGATCTACACCTCATGGCCCTTCCTTCAACCACACCCCTCGACAATGTTTTTTCCCCAGAGAATTCAAGAGGCTTTCCAAAAATGTGAACCCTAAATGTACAAAATATATAAATGTATGTTTTATTGCATTTTTACAAAATGTTAACCTTAAATGTTTTCAATGCACAGAAGTGCCAACTTCAGTAATCAGAGGCACAGTAACAAAGAAGTCAGCGCTTGTAAAAATATAATGATGGTAATTTTAAGGTGTATACACTATTAACTGAATTCTATATGGGCATATAATATTAATAAAATTATGCACGAATTTACTATTAAATAAAAAAAAAGTAACACTTCGATAAAACTACTGAATTAAAAATTACACAACACTGAAATTTTATACTTTATAAAAAGATAAAATTAATTTGATTTCTAAATATCAATGTTTTAGTTTTTGGTTAAAAGAACTAGTCCTTTTTGGCATTTTTAACATTTTGCATTTGAACTACTAAAAAATTTTACACACAGCATTTCAAATTGGAGTTCTTTTGTTTCTCTATAAAGAGAGAAAATTAAGTTTCGGAATAGTTTTGAAAAGAATTCTTTGTTTCTTTTTAAATTATTGTTTCTATCAAATCGTTATATATTTTTTGATTTTTAAATTTTAAATCAGGAGTACTGTAGATTAGTTGCAAAAAACAAAATTTTATAACTGTTGGTAGTTAAGGGAGAAAACTTTTTTTTAATAGATTATAATGAAAAATTCTCAAGACAATAATTTTTATTACCAAACCGTAAGACCATAACAATATCTATTAAATCGTAATAATTAGCACCAAGGCACTTATTGTAATTTAATAAATAATTTAGGGTGGCAGAATTTTTTCGTGCTTTCTGCGACATACCTCTCTAAAACTAATATCTTATTGCAAGATAATTTTAAAATAACAAATATATATGTTACTAATTTAAAGTAACAGAGCCGTCAACTTCAAAAAAAGAAGAAACTTTTGGGATCAAATAAAATAATTTTTTTAATTGAATATGTAACATTTTTCTAATTCTAATATTATGGGCAATGGATGGTATTTTCTCCACTAGGGAATGCTGTAAGCTCCATACCTTCTATACTTCCGGGCAGAGCCGGATTATACCTTTCGTAGGCCCTAGGCATAGCCGTTTTTGGACCCTCCCCTCCTTCCCTCACTCCACCCCTCTTTTCAAAATATATGCTAAAATTTTCTTGCATATTTTTTTCACTATTTTCAAATTTGTATGAACATAAATCTGCACAAGAAATGTTGAAGGCTCAAATTAAAGATAAACTTGTGAATACTTTTCCTAACGTTCACATTGCATTAAGAATATATTTGTCGATTCTTGGATCAAATGCAGAAGGAGAAAGATCTTTCTCCAGATTAAAATTGATAAAAAATTATTTGCGTTCAACAATGAATCAAGATCGTTTGGCATCGCTCGCACTTATGTCTATTGAATACGACATTTTGCGTAGTTTGGAATTCGACAGCATAATACAAGATTTCGTTGAATCCAAAAATCGCAAAAAAGTAATATATTAGATCATAAGATTCTGCAAAATAATTTATTACCGAAAAATATTATATTTTTATTTGTATCTTCATAATTTTGTGCAAAATACACTTGTTGTTTTTAAAGCTAAATTATTTTTGTCAACAAATTTTTTTCTCCCAAGTTTTTCGTAGGCCCCTGAATTTCGTAGGCCCTAGGCACGTGCCTAGTGTGCCTATAGGTTAATCCGGCCCTGCTTCCGGGTTACTGTTTCCGGTGTATTTTAATGCCATTTGGCCCACAACGTGATCATTGTTTTGAGATTCTTCCAAACGTGGTATTTGATAACTTATTACTTGAGTTTAAATGCTAACAATACTTGTGTTTACAATGCTGAAGGTGCTAACACTAACGTAAGATGGTGCTCAGCTTGCAACAAGAACAATCAGTAATAAACAAATGGAAAGAGGCCAAATCAGGACTGCCAAAAAAGCGAGTTATTCAAAATCTAGCAACCATGTCACCTTTTTTTAACAATATATCTATAAATAACTAAAACAAATTTTCACTCCAAACTCACCAGAATTACATAATAACATCTTATGAAATACGGCAGATTTGAGCTCAGAAATTATCTAATTTACTTCTTTTATTGAAAACAGAATTATCCGTTTGATAATATCGCCTCTCAGAATAAGCTGTAGTAAGCAGTTGCAAACTTTCTAACGGAACTAGAGCAGGTATTGAGCTCGATATTCTTATTGTTTACATTTATATTGAAAATACCATCCATATTCTCGTATTTTGCAAAGGGAAAAACACACTTACTACGTATTTCCTTTTCCGCATTTTGTAAGTCATCATTCCATTAAAAAAAATAATTTAAAAAAATCGTGAAATCCGTAGCATCAACTACCGGAAAAAAGAAAGATCGATACCGAAACTAAGCGAATCGAATCGGCCTCTTCAAAAAGGAGCGTTTTTACTTCGAGATTCAGTTGTAATCAATAATATCGTATTAAAAGTATCGGATTTTAAAAGCTATGAAGAAATTAATAGAATTAACTGCATTAAAAAAATAGAACGAAAATTTCTGCAGAAACTAAAACCAAATATTTTTACTTCCCAAAGTAAAAATCTTTCTGCAAGAACTCTGTAACGTTCTGCGACAATGTCGCCGTGTCGCAACGATTCTGCAACGTGGTATTATAAACATGTATAACAAAGCAAACTGTATTTTGTAACAGTAATCAAGTTAAATATAAGTGTTATTTAATCAAATACAAAACAATTAGAAAAAAAAAAGAGAATGAAAAGATATACAAACCATCGATGAGGCCAGATTATATGCAGTTTTCTGTCTGTACATTGTGTAGTTAAGTTTTGAAGTAAATCATCTTTCTTAATGTCAATAGGAAAATAAACAACTTCACTTTTGCTCCAAATTTGTTGGTCTAAATTTTTAGGTTTGTAGTCAGGCATCACATTTAAAAAACTTGTTATGTTAAACAGAAAAGACTCTCTGTTGAACTTTGAGTTAAATATAACCTTATCTGCAGCTAAACTAGAGATAAAAAAAAAAACTAAATTTAGAAAGCTAACTTTAAAACATAGATAAATGAAATATACATATATATCTATATATATGTGTGTATGTATGTATGCGCTATTTTCAGAAAAAGTAGAAATTTCAGTTGCCTAATATTTATAACAATAATTGCAACTTTAGCATTAGGAAATGATGGACGGGTTCATGATTTATTTTATGTTGAAATAAATTAACCAATGTGTGTTGTTGTTCGTTAACGTTGCACTAGATCTGCACAATGGGCTATTGGCGACGGTCTGGGAAACATCCCTGAGGATGATCCTGATACATGCCGTCACAATTTTGATCCCCTGCAGAGGGGATGGCATCCTCTCTTCGGTAGCCCGACTATCTGTGCGCGAACGTGCACTGTACGGTGGAACAGTTTTACGAGAACCAATACTGCACACCCTCGGACCCTTCGCAGACTGATCCAAGTGATCACCCACCCGCACACTGACCGCAGCCAATGATGCTTGCCTTGGGTGATCTGCTGGGAACCGTGTCTCAACGATCAGTCCACTGCGGGACACCAATTTGTGTATGCGACATAAAGTACTATAAAAGTTTCATTACTTAAGTTCAGATATTTCTTAAAAATAAGTATAAACTTAATTCAAAAATTTAATTGCTTTTTTTGAAAATGAAAACTATTAAAGTAAACTATTAAATACCAAATAATCGTATGTTGCATCTCTAATTTAGTAGCAGCACTTACTGTTTATTTTTTAAAATTTAATTTTTTTAATCATAATTTTACAGCGTTGAGCATAATCTTGTATGTCCTTACAATTTAAAAACTCTTTGAAAAAGTTTTTTTCGCAATAGCGGACCCCATTTGCACAAATTCACAAAAGCAGGACCCTGGTTGAAAGGATGGGACTGAACGTTTATTTTATATTCACAAATTACGAGTAATTTTTTCACAATTTCACAAAAACGGACCTTTCACAAAATGTCTTGACAGACCCCTGCTCATTAATTCATTGTCGCAACAAATCGAAATCTATTTTTCTTTAAGCTGCTTTCTATCCCTAAGGGCACAAATGTTTTGGCTTAACATTAGTAAAGCGGCTTTAATTTTGGCTACATTATCTACAGATAAATTCGTCAGAATTTGGATCGCTTCCCACATCGTCTAACTATGTATTTACTAAATTTTCTTGACATTAGGACTGGAATGCTCTTCAGTCCAAATCCTTAAAAGAGTTACAAAATTGTTCATGAATGCTGAATAAAAAACTGTCTCTGAAAAAAGAGATAGTCTATTTTGCTAATGTAATATGCTTTAGAAGCTTTTATATATATATATATATATATATATATATATATATATAACTTTTAAAGGAATAGAAAAATCCTTATTCAGAACAGACCACAAAGGCTTGGTACCTGAAGTGTGGCACCGTTGAGTTATACTCCACTATTGAAGGGAAAAAATTGACTTTTTATGTAATTGTTTGAAAATTTCTAAAATATTTTTTAAAGAATGAATGAAGAATTCATTCTTTAGAATGTGTCTATTACTACAAATTATTATTAAGAATTTCATTACTTGTTATTTAAAAAAATATTTAGTGAAGTTTAAAAAAAAAAATTTTTTTTTTTTAATTATGTCAAAAATTGGCAAAATTGAAGAAATTTTAAATAAACATTCCAGAGACAATTCTTCACGATTATTTTTTCTTAACTTAAGTTATAGGTATGTAAAATAAAAAACTTAAATAATGGTATATAAAATAAAAAATGAATCCACAAGTACATAAACCATAAAAGTTAGGGTAAACTTCTTTAGACACTAGCAAAATGGATTACATGAAGAATAGAGCAGATGATATTTCAAAATAAAAATTGGTTAGAGAAATTCTACTCAAATAAATATCCATATGGTTTAAACTATCAAAATGACAGCAATATATTTAAATAATTAAACCTATCATCATCACTTGGAGCTACAGCTTTGAAAAGTCCTTTGCCTATTTTAAGACATTTGTAATACCACTAGCAGCCATAGCAACTATATATTTTTAAAGTTAAAAAGAAACTAAAATAATAGAAAGCTTTGAAGTTAAACTTCATGTATGTAGTAAGCCATGTTTTGTTTGGCCACATGGCTGTAGATTATGTAAAAAAAGAAGAAAAAAGGTAGGAATTGAGATGAATTTTTTTTTTAAAGATTCGACTAATTTACCTCTAGGAGACTGTCTCCAACAAGTCCTTGTAAAAGTTTATGCCCTCTTCTCTCAACAACACGGCAAGCATTTTCTGCTGCATACATGGAAGTAAAATCAAACATAGCGACGTCTGCCTGGCCATAATGGTTAACAGCAAAGTCGAGACTTGGTAGCTGATAACTTGTGGCAAAGTCAGCTGCATCTCTAGCATACTCCATAAGTGCTTCCCTGTCTACATTCTCAGCAGCAAGTAGTCTTGCAGTATCATTGAAATCCTACAAGCAAATACAATTTTAATAAGCAAATCACAAAGTAAAATAGATTTTTCCAATCATATAGAATTTTTATTTCCTTACAACAAANAATATATATATATATATATATAACAAAATAAAAAAATACATAAGGAAAAAAAATTAAAAAAATAAAAACAATAAGTTTTATTTACTGCGCATAAGCTGCAAGTAAATAGAACTCATAAATTGAGTTCAAAATCTAGAGAAAACATGGAAAAAATTAAATAACAATGAAAAAAGGGGGGGACAGAAAAAAAATAATAAAAAATAACAAGAAACCGGAAAAAAAATCGAAAAAAAGGGGAAAAAATTAATAAAAATCCGGAAAATAAAAGACATAATCTTTTCATCAGCTCACACGATTATATTTGCAAAAAGGAGTGCTTTCTAACATTGTATCAATATAACCAAAGCAAAACATATCAATATAATAGTGTGAGAAGCACTCAAAAAAAATTTTACAAAAAAATTACAACAAATAAAATTGAACGCAATAAGTAAAAAATCACGTAAAAACAGAAAATAAAATATAAAGAAAAAAAACAGAATAAAATATGAAAACAAATCTATAAAGCGAGTAGCGAATTCAAATGAACTTACATGAACGGGAAATTTTTTAAGAATGATTTCAAATATGCTCGTACCAAAATCATTGTATTTCATATAATATTATTACACATAATAAGTAGGAATGATGATATGCATAAAAATGTTCATGTTGCCTCTATCTTCCCTCTTTAATTTAATTTCCAACCTCTTGTATTTGTTTTGTGGTGAATGGCATCATGTTTTTGTTGCTGTTCCACAAAGTGTAAAATAAATTGCTAGTGTTATTCTCTTATTCCTGTCGTCATTTATTTTACTATTTGTATTCTTGTTAAGGATTGAAAAACATTGAAGGGAAAATTATTCAGCCTAAAACAGCCCCTTCAATGTATTAAATATGATAAATTCATATACTAAATTTACACTATGATTTATAGTGTTATTTGCCGGCAGATGTTAATGCAGGTTCATATCGGAATTTTAAAATCCTTACATATATACAGAAAATATCATGTTTTAACAATATAACAAGTAATGTTTCCAATTTAACTTATTTACATGATTTTGACATTACATAATATTCAAGCTTCATATGCTATCATTTCTCAAAATCAGATTTTTCAAATCGGGAGATGGCAAATTTCGCGAATATTAAACTTTATTATACATATGTCAGTGAGTTACTTCAAATTTAGAGTGTTTAAAATTGTATTCTTTTCAAAAAGCATACATTTCATTTTATGGCACAGAGCTCTTATGATTTAGTTTTTCGTCGATTATTTTTAGAAATTGGGATTTTTAACAAAACAAAAAACAAACCACGCTATTCTGGCGAAAACAAATGTATTAAGAAAAATTCTATTTATAATCCTGAAAATGGTTAATGTGAAGATTATAATATTTTAAATTATGAAATTGATCATGACGCATGAATATACTGAAATTTAATAAAATTGTGGTCCTCAAAGGAAAAATAACTGGCATAAAAGTTGAGAATATTTATGATCGAACATGATCTATAGCCTTTAATCTGGTTTTTTTTTTTTATTTTGAATTGAAAAACTTGAGGAGAAATCCTTATATAAATACATATCTTTTTCTTAATTTAATCAATATATTTTAATTGAATTTTTTTTTTAAATTTTTCCTATCTACATTAGATTTTTATTTAAATAATTTCATATAAACAACCAAAATATTAAATAAATTATAGATTATTGACTGGATATTATTATTGCTGGATAACAGTAATTAGAGTAAATGTCACCGGAAAATGCCGGATTTTTATTGATTTTGTTTCCTTTTCTCGGAATTTTTTTTCCTCATTTTTTAAAAAATTATTTTGATTATTATTTCCCCCCCTTTTTTTTCCTCTACATTTTGAACACGCACACACACACAGATATATATATATATATATATAAACAGGTTTTATTAACATTTAAATGCAAAGAAATACTTCTTACCACGTAAGTATATCATTGTATCCATGTTGAAAGTATCTCTGCTTCCTCTCTTGAACTGGATAAGCAAGTTGGTTTTCATGAAAATAAACTATTTTGTACAGTTTCATCAAGTCTGGTCTTAAAGCCACGATTTCTGCTAATGGCAGGACTGAACTTGTAAACAGCACACTAAACAAAAGCATTTCAACCATCAGGTTTATGTAAACTATAAAATCTCTGAACAATCCCAACATTCTACTCTACAAATTATTATGTTTATTATGTACTTCAATTCTTGAGTAATAATTTTAACACACGTGCTTAAAATTATTACTCAAGAATTGAAGTACATAAAAAAACGCATATTAAAAAAGTGATTTACAATCATTATCATGGCATTTATTGAAATATGTCTTAGTCTTACAAAAATAATAAATTAAAAGGATCCCAGGGTATAGACCATGTTGCAATCGACATATTGTAACAATTATGTTGAATCATGCATTTTAAATCATATTGTTATCATTTGATCGCATTATTTTCTCACATAACGATTTAAGGTCATTAGTTGAGACTCTTTTCGTGATCATTTTTTTTTGCTCCCGTTTTATGATGTCACACTCTATTCCAACACACTGTCTTCTCTATTCGCTGAAACATTCTAGGAAGCTAATTAAAATTATTTAAATACATCTTCACATGATGATTTTTTATCGTTATTGCTTTCTTTTTATAATATACCGCCAGTATCTGGTTGGAATATATATTTACCCGCTTCCCTGATTATCACGAGTTAACTCGGTTATGTATACATTGCAAATATTTATTATCCCGAGAAAACTCGGGCATAGCAGAATTCGTCAATATGTCACGTTTCTATTCGGCCGGAAGCACAACAAAAAATAATGACAATCGGTTGTGACTGAAAGTTTGCCAAATTTTGTTTGGGAAGTTTGCTATTTGAGGGACGTGTTTTGTACTACATTGTATACAGGGGTATGTCCAGACATTTTGTGAAAGGTCCGTTTTTTGTGAAATTGTGAAAAAATTACTTACATTCTTTCAACCAGGGTCCGCTTTTATGAATTTGTGCAAATAGGGTCCGTTATTGCAAAAAAAAACTTTTTCAAGGAGTTTTTAAATTGTTAAGTCATACAAGATTATGCTCAACACTGTAAAATTATAATTAAAAAAATTAAATTTTAAAAAATAAACAATAATTGCTGCTTCTAAATTAGAGATGCAACATACAAATATTTGGTATTTAGCCTNATGTTGCATCTCTAATTTAGAAGCAGCAATTGTTGTTTATTTTTTAAAATTTAATTTTTTTAATTATAATTTTACAGTGTTGAGCATTATCATGTATGTCTTTACAATTTAAAAACTCCTTGAAAAAGTTTTTTTTTGCAATAACGGACCCTATTTGCACAAATTCATAAAAGCGGACCCTGGTTAAAAGAATGTGATTAATTTTTTCACAATTTCTCGTAAAACGGACCTTTCACAAAATGTCTGGACAGACCCCTGCAAATAGTAATTCCTATATTTCAAACAGCATTAAAACAAATTTATAAAAATATTTAAAGATTCTTATATAACTTTTAGTAAAAATTGTAAGGTGACAGAAAATTATTAAAACAACTTTTTTTTTGGTGAATTTTAATATATTCTTAAAAAATAATTCTTAAGAATTATTTTTTTTTAATAACCAAAAATACTTTAATTGTAAGATATACCAATTTTTATGACACTTAAAAAATGTTATTTTAAAGGCAAAATGCAAAATTTAAGAGCAATTGGTTGAATAGCCCTTGTGAAGTCAAATTTTGATTATATGAGTTTTTTAAATTTGGTAACTCAAAAACTATTCAGCCAATTGCGCTCAAATGATTCTTTAAAAATGAAGTAAACATTTTTAAACCACACAAATCAAACATTCTTTCGACTATTATTAAATTAAAATAATGATAAATAATTATTAAAAATTAATTTTCGATAAATGAATTTTATAATTCTGTGCAAAAAATTTTCATTTCACCTAAAAAAGCTCTTCAGTTATGGTGAAATATGCAAAAAGTAGAATTAAAGGGTCCAAACTTTTGTCTGCTCACTTGACAAAACTATTATAATCCTATAGCCCAGATTTTGGCAACTCATATACTTTGAGGATTAGGAATCCAAAACCGCTAAGAAAAAAGTATGTTTATTCAGATAAAGTACGTTTTTGTGTCTGATTTCCTGACTAAAAATATTGTTTGCTCTAATTTATTTGTATATTGAAAGTTAGGCCCACGAGCTTTTACGAATGAGTCTCAGTATGCAAATTTTCGTTCATTAGATCAAAAATTATTCAGTATTTGTTTTATTCCGTCTGCCTTGTACAAAAACATAACTAGTATACTAGAGTTCCCCTGTGGCAGAATTTTCGTAGGGCTTTCTGCGACAAACCTCTATGTCACTAATATCATTCTGCAAGATACTTTTAATAATAACAAATATATATCGTACTAATTAAATTTAAAGTATCAGAAATGTTATGTTTAGCAACGAAAAAACAACAACCCCTATTTGGACAAAATAAAATCTTATACACTAATAAAATTATAATTTTATATAAAAAAATTTAAAGTAAAATTTTATAATATATAATTCTATATATACTTAAATGAATATGTAATTTTTTTAAAAAATTCATGGGCGATATTCTCACATTTTGAAAGAGGAAAACAGACTCATTATTTCCTTTTACGCCATTTCGTAAATCATCATTACAAAAAATAAATAAAAATCGTGAAATCGTTAGCAGTAACTACCAAAAAGAAGATCGACATTGAAATCAGTCCTAAATGTGTGTTTCTTTTCGAGATTCGGTAGTTGTAATAAAGATTATCGTATTGGGATTTTTTAAAAACTGTGTGGAAATAAATGCCCCGAAAAAAAGTGATAGAATCATTGCTTTAAATATTCATAAGAGCGATTCAAATTTCCTATTGTCAGAAATAGTATATCGAAATATTTAAAGATCCTATGTGAAAATCAATAAGAATAACTGTCGAAAATACAATCGACATAGATTTGCGATAATCGGCATAAAGTGAGCGGTCAAAAAATTATCATTTCAATGCGCAATTTAAATTTTACGTGTAGAAGTAACTGAGAAATAACCGGAATTTTAAAAACGATGTGGAATTCGCGCGGCAACACTAGCAATAAAAAGTCGAAAAAACAAAGAAATCATCACAACAAAAGTAAATAATTGATTTGAGTTCAGCGTGTAATTAAATTGTATAAAAAACATCGCGATTTGTTATTTTTAAAAATTTGAAAATTCGTAGCAATAACTGTTGAAGGAACAATTGTATACTACTGCTTGGATTATTGAGAATATTGGCCCGAAACGAGCGCGTCAACAAATGATTTCGTGAATCGGCGAATCGAATTTTGTAGGCCGTTATAGTATATAGGTATATTTAAAAAATTCACGAAAATATAAATAATAACTGAGCAATGAAAGACATCGAGATTTCAAAAGAACAAAGCAAAAATTTGTTGCAAAAATTGCCACAAAAAAAAATTATCAAAACACTGCATATATTTACGATGGAATCGGCATGAGTTGTGAGCGAACCCAGTGACAGAATCACGGCAACATCGTCGCAGAAAATAGCAGAGTTCTTGCAGAAAGATTTATTTATTTATTTTTTTTGGACGTAAAAAATTTTGGTGCCGTATATCCATACTGTTACGACTATATTTTCGACAGTTATTGATGCTGATTTTTGCATGGTTTTTAAAATCCGATATTCTTAATGTGATGTTTATTAAAAAACCGAATCTCGAAACAAAACACGCAATTGAGTAAAGAGTCTGATCCGCGTGATTTTGTAGTCGCCTTTTTTCTCTGTAGTCTCCTTTTTTCGGTAGTTGCTGTAACAGATTTCTCGATTTTTAATTTGTTTTTTTTTAATGTGATGATGATTTACAAAATGCGAAAAAGGAAATAATTCGCGCGTTTTTCTGCTACAAAGAATATCGTCCATAGTATCAGAAAAAAACAAATATTGCTTATTCTTATTAAAAACATTTAAATACAATTTATTTTATCAAAATAGGTTTTTTGCTTGTAAACACAACCAGGGGTTTGTCAAGACATTCTGGGAAAGGTCCAGTTATTGTAAAATTGTGAAAAAACTACTCATAATTTGTGAATATAAAATAAGTCTTAAGTCACATTTTTTCTACCAGGGTCCTGCTTTTGTGAATTTATGCAAATATTGTCCTGTTACTGCAAAAATATTAATAAGAATGTGCACACGATGTTTGTAAAAGTAGAAATATTTTCTTAGAATACTACATTTGGAATTTAAACTTAGGGAAACTTGGAAAACTTAACCGTTTCGAACCGTCTCCTTGCCCCCCTCCGGGAAGGGTTTATTCGATTAACACAGTGTTTCCCAAAACTTATGACTTTTGTGTACCCTTTCTAAATTTTTCGTAATACTGTGTACCACTAATAAAAAATTAATGCAGTTTTTACTATAAAAAAATTGTACAAAAATTAAAAATCACAACTGGCTGCTGACACCACTAATTATTAACTGTTAACTCTGCAAAAAATAGCCAATAGAAAAATACGTAATCGTAGATTTTTATGGCTAGCTTTGTTTTTAAATAAAATTTTTGAAATTTTCGTTTGTTGCACGATATTTTGCATAAGAACACGTACCCCCGCTAAACGATTCATGCACCCCTGGGGGTACGCGTACCACACTTTGGAAAACACTGGATTAACAAAACAATGATGAAGATAAACAAATTTCTGGTGAGTCCGATTAAAAGATAAATTATTTTGTGAAGGGTTCGATTAAAAGATAAATAATTTTGTGAAGGGTCCGTTAACGGAACCAAATTTCTTCTAAACAGACCCCTGACAACGCTTGTTACTTTAAGTTAGTAACATATATATTAATACTATTAAAAGTATCTTGCAGAAAGATAGTGTTCGAGAGGTTTGTCGCAGAAAGCCTGAAAAAATTCTGCCACGTGGTGAGCGAAAACTCAAGTGCATGATTTAAAATTTTCAAGTGCGTATTTTTTTTTAAAAAATATTGGCTTTATTTTATTTTAACCAAATTAAAATAAAAAGAAGCAGGGTATTATTTTGCTACAAATCTGAATTTGTAACA